TTGACCGGCTCGCCATGCGGTGGTATCCGATCCACAGTTCCACGGAATTGGTAGTAAGAGCCGGTCTCCGTTCGGATAAAATTACACGAAAACCACTATAGTTAGATTGCAGATGGTTCGTGGAGAATGCTCCCCTTTTTTTTTTTTTTTTTTTTTAAATACACTCAAACTTCGTAAAACTTTCTTAGTGCTATACTGGAGTCAGGATATGTGGTGTAGGCAGCTGTTGTAAATCTGTAGTCCGACCGTCGGATGGATAGGTGGATGGACTGTCTGTAAGCCGCGTGCGTGTCACCGATCTTCCCTCCTGCGTTCCAAATGTAGCTCGGTTGGTTTTACTGTAAGTGCCAAAAAGCAATGCTGTAACGTCCTTACGCGTTTCGTGAGACTTGGCTCACTTCATCAGAGGATGCTGAGTGATTCTTACGGGTTTAAATAGCCGAAAAAGTCTGGCTTGTATTAACCCTTCATAATTCAGTTCATGCTTAATTCAGCACTCGGCATATGTTTCAGTAAATTGTACAAAGTTAATTGTTAATAGGCACATATGGTAATAAACTTTTGCATTTTTATAAGAGTCACATTTGTAAAAATAAGAAATAGAAATAATATGTGGAAGACCTATACATATTAAAATTGATTTCTCCTCTGATGGTCTTACAACTCTGTTTCTTACAGAACGGAGTAATTTTCCCATCGCACTTTGTCTGCTCATTCAATCACACACTCTGCTCCTCTGCCCATTGTGCTCTGTCTGCATATCCAATCACATTCTGTCACTCCGTCTTTGTCACCATACATACTCTCACTGTCTCCTCTCCCCATCATTCGCTGTCTTTTCTTCCTATTCGAAATCGGTCATTTTGTTTTTGTTTATTTTTTATAGCTCATGGGCGTTTTCTCTATCGGACTCCGTGCAGCCACTCACTCTGCACGTCCAGCGCCCTCTCATCTCACCGGTGAGTCCCTTGCAGAGGAAATTAAACTTGTTGTTGTGGTTTCTGTATGTAAATGGGTAAACACAGGATGCTTCATGCATGTGGAAATGGGTTATTGTGTATGTATTTTAAAGAAACCGTAATGCTTCAAAAAAGGACACTTTAGACACCAACACGTGTTAAATTGCATATTTAAGTCTCTTGTTTTCAGCATAACCCCAACCCCGTAGCCGTGCATCTCTTTTTTACAAAGCCCTTCCGTAGAAGTACTCGGAGTACCGACACTGCTCAACCAATGAGAGATTAGTGTGAGCTGAGCTGCTGACAGGACTCCACCCCTCAGCCAATTACTGTCTCCTGTTATCTCACCCTTTACCTCATAGCACGGGCTAGTACTGTACCGATGGTGGAGTGAAGCTAAGGAACAGTTCTACTGGCACTCCTATCCCATTGGGCAAGTTTAGTGAAAATGCGAGGCGTGACTAAGGTGCAGCTTTATGCTTCAGCAAGAAGCAAGATATTTTTTCAGCAACTAAAGTGATTTGAATGATGAGAAAAAACAACCTTAATATAATAAAGCCAAAACCTGACAAATTAATTTCCATTGTGTTGGTGTCCAAAGTGTCCCTTTTCGTTTTGGTTATATAAAAGAAGTTGACATGTATATGGCTGTCTCCACGAAGACAAGGACTTGCCATTTATTTATTTTTGTATACAAATAATATGGGGATACGGGTTGTTCTACAGAGCAAAATCCAAATAAAATAGCATAGTATTTCTTCAGCATCTACTACTGTTCTTCTAGTCTTAGTATCCCAATTTCTTTTGGGTACGTTGTTGTTGAGATCAGAATAAATACACTATATACACACAGAAATATGCAATAGTGAAAAAGTGTGTAGCGCTCAACATTTATCACTTACTACCCAATAATGCTTAAGGGTTTGTAAGGTATCTGGGTAGTCCTTGTTTCAGTCACAATGAATTCCTCAAAGAGAACAAAGAATAGAACAGGGGGAAATCGCCCTGGTGTTGAAATCCTTATGATTAAAATGACAAATATAAACAAAAAGGTGAAGGTTGCTTCTCACCTGGAAAAGAGCCTGTGACTTGGCTCTGAGTGTAATAGCTTGTGAGTCTTGTTAAAGGGATGACTCTTGCCCTCTTCTAGCAGGATAGAAGATGTACCAGGTATATGTATTTAAATTGAATTTATTACATAAACATTAAAAACATCAATAAAATTCATACATTACACTGGTATCTTGTCCAAAACACGTTTCGCCGACCTCTCTCGGCTTTCTCAATTGAGAAAGCCGAGAGAGGTCGGCGAAACGCGTTTTGTGATTCAATTTAAATACATATACCTGGTACATCTTCTATCCTGCTAAAAGAGGGCAAGAGTCATCCATATTCTGTTTTTGGGAGATACTCTTTGTGGAGTTTTTTGGCCAGTGATCATGTTTTCCAACTTACTGCTTTTTGATTTGCTCAAATCACAGTGAATCACATAAATCCCTGGCTAGATGATCACATTAGGTTGGCTCTAGAAGCAGTTCTGCATCCTTCTGTGACTATCCATCTACATTTATGTATAACTGTCTAATTGTTTCTCTGGCCATTTCTCCCTATCCATTATTCATTTCTCTTACAGATGGTTACAGGTTGTCCTTGGGTCATGGAACTTTTTTGGATGCTGTTTATCCCATTCACCATTTATCAAGTAAGGTACTAACAATCTGTCACTATGGGGCTGATAGGGGATTTCACTCAGGGGTGTATCTGACACTGCCGGCACCTCCTTCCACTGAAAGTACACAAACTTACTGCAGAAGAAATGACTTACCTCTTATGGTAAGAACTAAAATTACATAATTTCTGATAATATCTTAACTGGTCTTTGTAATTGGTATCAGAGAGGTCTGTATATTGCCGTTAGTGACCATGTGATGTCAGAACTCTCCCAGTCTCTCTGTAATATACTGACTGGTCTCAGTGCTCGGTATCGGACAGGTCTGTGTATCCCTGTTAGTGACCATGTGATGTCAGAACTCTCCCAGTCTCTCTGTAATCTACTGACTGGTCTCAGTGCTCGGTATCAGACAGGTCTGTATATCCCTGTTAGTGACCATGTGATGTCAGAACTCTCCCAGTCTCTCTGTAATATACTGACTGATCTCAGTGCTCGGTATCAGACAGGTCTGTGTATCCCTGTTAGTGACCATGTGATATCAGAACTCTCCCAGTCTCTCTGTAATATACTGACTGGTCTCAGTGCTCGGTATCGGACAGGTCTGTGTATCCCTGTTAGTGACCATGTGATGTCAGAACTCTCCCAGTCTCTCTGTAATATACTGATTGGTCTCAGTGCTCGGTATCAGACTGGTTTGTATATCCCTGTTAGTGACCATGTGATGTCAGAACTCTCCCAGTCTCTCTGTAATATACTGACTGGTCTCAGTGCTCGGTATCAGACAGTGACCATGTGATGTCAGAACTCTCCCAGTATCTCTGTAATATACTGACTGGTCTCAGTGCTCAGTATCGGACAGGTCTGCATATCCCCAAATCTCTCTGCTTCCCTCTCTAAAAGTGTAGTAAATTTGTATATAGGAAGAGTGCTTGCAATATGTCTTTTTATGTATATATAGTAACATTTTTAACAGCCTTTCTTGTATGTTTAATAATTCATCCTGTGTGCTTCCTGTTTAATTTGTTGGTTCTTCATTGGAAGTATGTGACGGGAATGTGTATTCCTTCCCAGTGCTAATAGAGGCTTTCATTGTTTCCCATTGTTGTAGTTTATGTTGTTACAGACCAATTCAATATATACTCATTCATTAGTAGATTGAAACTGAGGAACATTGGACTTATGCTTTGCTGACAATAGAACTCTCCATTTTTAGTACACATATGCATAGTTGTACATTAACACTTGCAATGGACACACGTCTTAGTAATGCAACACGTTAAATTCTTGTAGTCTTTTCACTGTGTAGTTTTGTTATAATCTTTGTACTCATACCAAATGTATAAGGTCCTATTTTCACCAGTTAAATCAATTATGCATTCTCTAAAAGCATCATACTGCTGTTTAAAAACATGAGTTCATTCTGCCTTGGTCTACTTCCATATCCTATATCATGTCTTTTTACATCTCTGGGTTAACCGGCCTATCCTCGACTTTTCCCAAAGTTTGAATAGTATTACTTTCTCATCTTATCTTTCTTAATATTAACACGTGCACCATCCTCTATAGATGGCTTCCGCCAGTTTTCCGATATCCAAAAGAGTCTGATGAAGAGTTTTCTTCTCGAGTACAAAAGGTTAGTAGAATTATGGAAAGTTTGGCTGGTGATGGTCCTGTGTAATATCTTGCAGGCCATTGATTAGTGTTGGGAGTACATGGTATTAGTTTAACAGGAGGCTATAAGCAACCTACATTCTACTCTTCCTTCTAGCTAATGGCGCTTTCCATGGGGATCATCGGGACACGTCACACTGCTGTGGACAGAGCAGAACATTTAAAGAGGAGAAGACGTGAATCTCCACCTCCTGCTGCAAGTGTTTCTTCTTCCACAGCAGACAGTCGCATGGTACAGCGGGTCAAAGAAGTCCTACCCCAAGTCCCGCTATCAGTGATTCATAAAGACCTGGGTGAGGGATACAAGGGTATTTAAAAAAAAAAATTAAAAAATTGGAGGAGCTATAATGAAGTTGAGGTTAGTATTTTGCAATAGGAGTTATAGGGAGGGTTATACAGAGTAATAGGGAGGGTTATACAGAGTAATAGGGAGAGTTATAGGTATATTTATATGGAGTAACAGGGGAAGTTATAGGGAGGGATACATGGAGTAATAGGAGTTATAAGGAGGATTATATGGTGTAACAGGAGGGGATATAGGGAGTGTTATATTGGGTAAGGGAGGGTTATATGGAGTAATAGGAGGGGCTATAGGG